GCGGCTATAGAAGCCAAAGCAAGAAACCAGAGCCACGCAACTGAGCATAAAACAAAACAAATGAAGTCTCGGCTCACATTAATTAGATACTAAAGTGAATTTCAAATGCGGTCATACATTTTTGCAGTTTGCTTTCTGCATTTCTGAGCTGCAGCTCGACAGAAGACACTCCCGGGCAGGGTGGGGCAGGGCGGGGCTGGGCGGGGTCAGCAAATGAGGCGCTTAACTGAATGACGCATAGCTGTTGGCTGCCACACTCGGCGTATAATTAATTTTAAATGCCACTGAGTGTGTCTTCTCTCTCTCAGACAGCCATACATTTGTCGCACATTCAGTTGATTACGGTGCTGTCTCATCTGTTCAGCTGTTCTGGCATTCTCTCCGAGCGTCGACAGTTTTGTGAGCTTCCATTTATATTTACAACATTTAACATGGTCATATTTATTGTTCAATTACGGGGCTAACTCTGAAATTAATTCAACAAACATCAGCAGCACAAATGCACACACTGTAAGCTGAGTAATTAACTGTTTCTGTTTAATTAGCAATTGTTGATCAATGCATTGCGCCTGCCAATTTCCCAGTTGCGAAAATGTTTTTAATTATTTAATATCCTGCTGCTCGTGCAGTTTCCAATTAAAATAATTGACTATGCTGTGTGTTATTTGCGCGTACAATGGAAATTATCATTATTTGCATTTGAATTTGTTTAAACTAAAAAAAAAAAAAAAAAAAAAACAAAAATCGACTGCTTTTGTAGTTCGTTAAACCATAAAAGACTTTTGAGAGCACCGCAAAAAACCTACGCTAAAAAACTCACTAAATCGAAATGACCAACTGCAGTTGTATGCGAAGCAACTACTAAGCGCACTTTGTATAGAAATAAAAATTGGAGGATAAAATGTTTTATGTCCGCTCTGCACGCAATGGAAATTGCAAGTCAGGCAAAGCGAACAAGGGGAAGCACACACTGAAAATGTTGCCCACTGATGGTAAACTTGACAAGATGCCAAAAACAGCGGAAAATGTTGTGGCCACAATATAAAAAGGGGCCTATGCGGAGGGGCGTACCGTGTGGGCGTGGCAACTGTTGCCGAGGGTGGATTGTTAGGTGTTGCTTAGATAAACTGACATGATTTAAATGGCAGAAAAACTTTTTGGAGCCTTGACAAGACACCTGGCACAAATGTAAAAAAAAGCAACTGTTGTGCCAGCACACACACACACACAGAGAAAGAGGGAGAGAGGGAGATGCACGCTTGTACGTGTAGTTGGGACATTTTCCAACATGGCAACTGTCATCTAACGTTTGTCATGTGCTTCTCGCATTGCGTCTGAGTTCCTGTTCCACTCTTATCAAGTTGCTGTTTGTTGATTGAATAAACAGGCACACAAACTCTAAATGTGTGTGTGTGTGTCTGTGTGTGGGTGTGCGAGTATTACTCGTTGTTCTGTTTGTGTTTTGTCTGTCTGTGTGTGTGTTTGTGTATGCCTATCTGTTAGACACATATACTTCTGTACAGTGAAAAGTTTTTGACATGGCCCCAGACACTGGGCCAGTCTAACTGAATTTTCCATATTTTGTGCGTGCCACATGGAGAAAAGTAGAAAAATAATATTTGCTTTCTAGCCAAAATTGTCAGAAAGCCTTTTGGCATGCCGAAGTCATGCGGGCTGAAAGCCAAACCGAAATGAGAAATGGAAAATGGACAAAATAGTTGAAAGTCTCAATGGAGTCAGTTAATAAATCATTGCAAATGGCCATTACGGACGGACAGTAATGTGTCAGCAGTCAGCAGTCAGCAGTCCGCAGAGTCATCACAAATAGTAGTTGATATTTGCTTAAATGCATTTCAACGCAATAAACTCAATATTTGTCTGGCACTTGTTTTACGTTTCAATTAATTAAATATTCGCTCTGCATGTGTAGCCATTCGCTGGCTGACTTTAATTTGAGTCATATGTGAAATTGTTGAATTTGCCCCGTTTCACAGGATAACTTACGCAAAAATCGCGTTGCTATGTTAATTTGAATTAAAGGTCAAAGTTTTTAGTGATTTATAGTTCAGTGAGTTTTCTGTAATTTGCAGCTTTTTGTTTTGATAAACATTCGGTTTATTTCTTTTCTTTTTTTTTTTTTTTTTTTTTTTTTTTTTTTTTTTGTACAGTTTTAGCCACCCCTGTTGTGCATTGACCCAAAACAAGAATAACTCCCTGTTGCTGGCCCGTCTGATAGCAGATTCTGGTCTAGTCACCATACAGCTGCCATTTCATTATCCTGCCCACCTTCTATTTTTTTCCTCTTTTGACAGTCTTGTTAGGCCGGGGGACTAATGATGACAAATGTATATAAAGCAAAAATAGCAGACGGCCTTTTCGGTGGGTGCCTGGGCCGCGCTGCAAAGGTCAGACGGTCAAAATAGTCGCATATGTATAGAGCGACAGTGTCCAGCTTGTCCGCCTGTCCGCCTGTCCGTCTGTCGGTCTTTCGGGCTGTCCAGCTTGTCCGCTTGGCGGCTCGGTGGCTCGGTGGCTGGTCCACTGCTCTACTCATTGTGTCTGCATGCAAATGACTTTATTTGAATTTTAAATGTGTAAATTGTGCTCGTGTTGCTTGATTTCTCCGGTTCGCTCTCACAGTTTACGACCTGGCCGTTTGTCACTGATAACGGCGCAAGTGGAGGACGGCGGCCAGTGGAGGACACCCGCCCCCCAAATGAAAATTGCAATGGCATGGCAATGGAACAATGGAAGGCAATGACAACAACGTTGCTGCCAACACAATGCTGAGGCCCTCCACCTGGCGCCAGCTCGCAAGGAGATATAATCATTTCCGTTGCCGGCCCACGTACGTCTTTTATCTCTTTCAAATTTTCGTTATTGTTATGCGTTTTAAAAGGTTTTCTTGATAATGGAGCCGCAGAATATGAGAGCGAAAAAAAGAGGAAAGCAGAACTGTTGACTCACCTGGTAATTTCCGGCAGATGGAATTCTTTCCATCGTCGATGCCACACAATGCGTATACTTAACACGTGAACATCGCGCGTGTAAATTCGCTATGGCTTCACACTGAATGTGCCCTTTGCCTTCTGCCTTGTGCCTTGTGCCACGCCTCCTGGCCGTTGCCACTCATCAGCCCCGATCTGTTCGTGACAGGTTCTTAATTAATTTCAAATTAGTTGAGCGCCTACGATGGAAATTTTAACTATTCTCGAGCTGCGTTCGGCTATGGATTCCGCCCGCGGCAAATTTATTAACACACTGCCGCACATTAAGCCCGGCAACACGCAACCAGCTAAAAACTAATCGCAAAAGTTTACTTTTCATTTTTCAATCCCTTTCGGAAGCGCCCCAAAACAATATTACATAAATCACATAATTCAGTCAAGCCATCATAATAGAGTTCTTCAATAAAAAAAAAAAAAAACATCAAATAACAGCTTGTACTTTTCATGGTCCGAAAGGAGTTCCTAAGTATCCGCTCGGATGAACCTGTAATAATTGCCGGAGCTTTCAAGTTCTCGATATTTTTTTCAGGGTTGAGTTGAGTAAGCAGCGGCAGTGGCTGAAGCTGCTGGCAAAGTTTTGACAATTTCAATATTTAGCCCAGTCGAAGTTGAATGTCTTTAGCTGCAGACTGCGAAAGTTTTGCCAACTATTAGCCAAATCGCTGCTGCTAAGCGCCAATAAGCCGAATAACTTGTAGCTCCCAGCACTGCTCCTTCCGCTCCCTCCGCTCCTTCCGGCACCGCTCTATATGGAGAGCTGGGTTGAAGAATTACGACACATTGGAGAATTTATGATCCATTGAATGTGCTGCACAGCCGGAGGAGGAGGAGGCGGGGGGCCGGAAAATCAGGAGGACTAAGGCCAAATGCGGAAGCCTAAAACCGCTCAGGCGCTGAAATCGTGTGCGTGTGTGCAATATGTTCATATTGCCTGCCTCCGTGGATATTTACGGCGCTGTCTGCTCACCTGTGTGTCATTGATGTACGGCTGGCGTATGCAAAAGATAACCAGGTGGGCCAGATGCACGGTGGGTGATGACGTGGGCGTGGCAACCAAGTGTCATGCGGTAGGCATGAAAAATTGCAAATTAACTCAAATTAATGGCGGACCATGTGTAAATTTATTCAAATTGATACGCTGAGCCAGACGCGCGAGCTTACCAACTTCATTTGGGGAGATTTATGTGTTGGCCTAATCAAATACACAGCCCGAGACAGCGCGTGTGCGCTTTTGGCCAGTTTGGCATGAAACCCAACTTATGTATCAATCAAAAGCCGAATCGATACGACTTAGCCTGGCACAAGTCACGGCCACAATTCGACTGCTGATTGAGTGAACTGCTCAGTGCTGCTCAGCCCATGCAGCTGAGTGAAATATATATGGATGTGTATATCTGCGTGTACTGCAGCTTAAGTTATCAATATAGGCATTAACTTCGACTGTTTTACCAACACCCAGCAGTTCGCATTGATCGGGCGCCGAAGTTCCCGTTTCAGCGGTGCCTTCGCCGTATTTTATTTATGGCCTCAATTTGCTTGGAAGTAATTAAGCCGCGCTCCTCTGGATTAGTGGCCAACGCTGAAATTGCCAAATGCCTGTCAAAATGGCTGAGTGACAGCTTAGTGCAAGGACTGGGATATCCAATTTGAAGGTCTCCAAGTGTGCTGCGGGCACGGATGGATTAGCTGAGGCAAACAATTATAGAAGGCCAGCTGTCATACTTGTGGCTAAAATCGAACAGGGAATATTTAAAAACTCTGCATAAATTCAATTCATTGTCTATGCAAGTCCGCCTCGAGCTCAATTGTTGCTTTCTAATACATTTATTTGCATAGTGCCGGCTTTTACCTTACTAGTTAATGTTCACATTATAAGTTGCATTGACAAAACCCTGTACAACCAATTTATAATTTGACTTGTATAAAAGACTGAAAAACCGACCTAACTCACAGTGCTCGCTCGAGGCGAGCTAGTGCCTATAAAAATTGAAACTATTTTGAACGCTCCCTCTGCCTCTTCTCTGGCTGGAGCTTCGCAGTCCATGTGGGACTGACCGTTGTGGAGTTGAAATATGGGACCGATGTCGTCTTGCGTAGCGATATAAAGCCGGAACGGGCCGAGTTGTTCAGGGGCTCCAGCAGATTGTCGGAAGCTGTCTTTTTTCGTGCTGCACTTTGCTGCTCCTTGGCCATGCGATAATCCTCCCATTCGTTTGCAATGCGTGCCAATATATCCTCGCCTTGCACCAGAAACGGTTGTCCATTGCGTCGCTCATAGTCCTGCGCCAGTTCCCTTATTTGCTGCTCGATCCTAGGTAGCTTAATATTAATTGCCTTGCGCTCCCGCTCCTCCCGTAGTAGGGCGCCACCTCGATTTTGGTAGCGATTGGGTTTCTTAGCCTTCTCGTCCAGCGCCTCCATGCGCATCCACAGCCTCGCGCGTTTGGCGTACACCTCGAAGATTGCCTTATTGGCATTGTAATAGTCCTTAATGTCCTTCAGCTGCTCCTCTAGCAACTCCAGCAGTTCCACTGTGCAACAGTCCTTCTGATAATTCCGAGCACTCGGATACTGCAAGGTGAGATCACACCACTCGTTGATCTCCGTGTGCACGTGGCCGATGAGAGCCTTCAGATGCTCAGCTCGCATGGCCTCGCAGTGTTGCAGCGTTTGGCTGAGCTTCTCATAGTTTTGCTGCGAATTATCCGGTAGCTCACACAGCTTCTTCATGGCCAAGACATCGACTAGACCCAATTTGGACAGGCTCTCTGACAGTACAGCGATCTTGAGGCGCATCTTGTCCAGGGACTTGTTCCACTCCTGCAGCCGCCGTTTGGCACCGGCTTTGTCGCTCTGCCGCTGCAGCTCCTCGGTCAAGTGGATCATCAAGTAATTTAGCTTGAACTGCTGCTGTGACCGTATCCTGTCAATTGGCTCTGCCGATGACTCTATAGTCTGGCTCAGCTGCACGGCCAAGTGCTTAGCGCTGTCGAGTAGCATTCGAATGTCCATTTCGAACTTGCGCTGCTTCTGCTCCCAAACCTCGCAAAGCATATCAACACTTATCTTTTTCTGCACTGTATCCCCCATAATTCTATGTTATCGTACGATACGATGTGTTGTAAATATGTCTGAAAGCTAAACTATTGAAAGCTAGGGCAATGTTTCTCTTAAATACGTCATATTTGAAGCTAAAATATGAGTAGAGTAGAAATTTCAAAATGGAAAAATATTAAACAATTTCGAGAGCCTAGTAGACCTTCTAAATGCGTTTTATATTGTTTGAATATTAAATGTTTTAAATTATATTTTTAGTCTAAATATTTATCATCTCTAAATGGGTTCTCTTTGCCATTCTCTGTCATAAACCCCAATTGGCATTTTTATCTAGATTTGCATTCGTCAAGCAGGAAACACAAAAGTGGATATTAAAAACAAATTGCAAACTGCAATTAAACCTAAACCGTAAAGTGTCAGTCATAAAATAAAACGCAGGTAATCATGTTCAGCTAATAGAAAAATATAATTTTTATTCAAATTGGTCGAGCGACAAAGCACTAACAGCAATAAAAAGGGCAATCAAAAGTTAAGAGCATATAAAACGCACGCACACACACACACACATACGTCGAGCACTGCAAATTATTCAATTCAATTGAGGCAAAGACTGCATTTGGCAGCCAACTGGATTACGTAGCCACAGCCCCGTTTTTTTGTGCAGCCTGATGTGGTTGGCGGGCCCCAAAGCGACGTCTATGATGGACGTACGTATCAAGCTGTACGGGCCAAGAGCTTGTGGCAGTGATTTAAATGCGCACCGAAACGAAAAGGAATCACAAAAATATATATACATATATATAAATGAATATACATATATCCCCATCGAATTGCAACCGCGAGCGTAATTAATGTTGAATAAAGCTGCGCTGGATTGTCCCATCAGCAGTCGAAAGCGATTGCAAAGGACAAAGGCGAGAATGTCCACACTCGGTTGCCGTGGCTACAAAATGTCCAGCTTAATTGAATAGAGCTGCCGCCTCACATGCTGCTCAAATCGAATTAGTTCTGATACGTATGCTGCCAAAATTAAAGATATTACAATTTATACTAGACACTTGATAAATCATATTATAATGAGTTCAGCTCGGGCTAAATTATTAAATAAATCTCGCTGATGCTCCCTAATGGCTGCCATGTATTTAACTTCTCTCTCTCTTTCACTCTCACTCTCCCATAGAGCCATACACTTGACTAAAATACAAATGAAATAAGTGAATCTCAGCGGTTACATTGTGATTTTTCTTTTTGTGCCTCGCCTTTCTGGTTTCAAATTAAGTGTTTAGGACTTTTTTTTATTTTTTGCCGACTCGCACACATTGTCGACTCTCGATTGTTGTGCGGGAGTCTGCGGGAGCCTGCTCTTCTCGCCCGACGCTAATGAACTTCCGCTGTCAAATGAAATGCTTACCATGCAAATCGTGGCATATCGAATAATTGAACTCCCGCCGCAGCATTGTTATTATCATTTTCATTTTGTGCTTCCGCTGCCAGCACGGATTTCGTTATTCATTTCTCCTTTTCGGAGTTTTTTTTTTTTTTTTTTTTTTTTTTTTTGGTTCGTGCTCCTGTTGCTGGTAGAAATTGGAGTGTGAGGATCGCACATGTTTCACATCCGTTAACACCATATTCTTAACTTGCCCGGCCAAGTAGGCAACAGTCAGTTCTTCCCTCACTATTCCCTCTTGTCTTCCTCTTCCTCTTTGCTTTTTTTGCACGCTCAGAGCAAATTGCGCACATTTAAATGCAAAAACCGTCGACAGTTGCGTTTATGGGCGGCTAGGCTAGGTGTTCATGATTGCTATGCCAAGCAGCTGCCACGCCCCCTTTTGGGTTATTTACAGCTGCGCGTGAGTTTTCATTTGCTGTCTTCTGCGTATGCTGGAGTTTTCACGTATACATTTTTTCCTCTTGCCGGATTTATATGCCCAAGATTTATGTCACATGCAGGCACGAGTAGCACGCACACACCTGTACACCCCAATGTGGGTGTGTGTGTGCTGGTACACTCGGTCTGTGTGTTATGAATATGCATGTGTTCATTATGCTGGATTATTGTTATATCAGCGGAAATGGTGCACAGCTTTGACTGCGTAATGAATACCATTTGAATATACTCAAATTATTAAGCTCTCGCCGTGCTCGGTACTCGCCCCAGCACTTAGAGGAGTCTCTAGCTCTTGGACAATTTATTTTAGAGCTAAGCAACAAGAATAAATTTTGAATAGGAATTAAATAGCAGCTGACTAAGAAATTATCATTGGAAATCATTTCTATCTCAGTTCTCACATTAGGCTATCATAATTGAATTAGCATATTCATCGATGCGCAACTTTACAAGTATAAATTTCTAATTAAGATGTCATAAGTGGATTAACATTTGCATCGATGCAGCTTTTGTTATAAACCTTATAAATACGGGCCAACTGTGAGAGCTTTATCAAAAACTTGTGGCAAATGTGAAAATTTAATTTATTGGCAATTGAACGTGCTGTAAAAATTCTTTTTTTGCTGTTGTTTTGTTTTTTTAATACTATACGGCTTTTATTGTAAATTCAAGCGAATTGTAAATTTACGGTAAACTGCATTCACATTTTTGCAATCATTGATGCGGGGCAATGGTCGTGAGCCGTGAGCCGGGTTCATTTGGCAGTTTAGTGCCATTTTTGCATTTCCGTTTTGTTCGCTTGTGGAGCGTCGATTTAATCTGTGCCTGGCCAGCAACAGCGATGCCAATGCCATCGCAGCAACAATTATGCCATGCGTACAAATTCTCTGAAAATTTCTCATTCATAGGGCCGAGCAGACTGTGGCCGCAGGAGCCCGTTTGTAACTGTGTTCGCAGCTCTTGCTTTGGCATAATGAAAGCGCGGCATGGCTGACATCCATTCGTAATGGCCATGGCTATGGCTATTGCTATGGCTATGGCCGAAGCGAACGCCACTTGCACAGTCCCATTGCGACAGCCAGAGAAAAGAGCGACCACATCGATGAGGACAATGACGACAACAATACGCCGATTGGCGCTGTGATTAACTGCATCGCAGTTGGCCATTTCGGGTTTTAGCTTTTAATTCTAAACAGCAGTGCGCTAATTTGTAGCTGCTCTTGTTGAGGTGGACTCAGCTGAATAGCTCTGTGCGGAGGGAACTCTTAGCTAGCACACAAATGTCAACTTTAAACTTTAAATTTGCTACACAGAGAGAGAAAACGATAGAGAGAGGGAGAGGGAGAGAGAGGGAGAGTCTCTTGATCTGTAAGTAGAAATGCATGAATTTACTGATTGAAACTTATTTGAAAAGTTGAGTTCATGACATTTAATCTGCTCATTTTCTAATTGCCTGAACAACAAGGAACGATATCAAATTAGATCCAGCATGAAATCAAATGAACTGTCTAAACAAACTGCTGCTTCGCTCTGCTCCGATTGACAGACAAAGTTCGAACAGATGCATGGCAACTGACAGTAAGTGTAAGCAAATGTTCTGGCACATCATGTGTGCAGCAGGTACACACACCCACACTCACACACACACACACACACACACACATTTAATAAACGTAAACAGAAGTCTGTGTGTGCCACCAGCTGGCATCCTGAACAGCTAACTCGCATAATGTCAGGACTCTGTGTACTACTTATTATGGAAGCATTCGGCTGTAAAAGTTCTGCAGGTGTTTGTGAGCAAAGCAATCACAAATTAATATGCCAGGAGGCACACTTAAAAGACCATTCCGACATACACCTCATGAATATCTTTGCAGAGCGCACATAATCATAAAACAGGCTTCAGTATACCTACTGTACACACACACATACACACAGACATGCAAACACACATATGCACATATATGAGTATCGCATATATCGTACTGGCTGTAAGTGCAAAAGTTCCACCCGACGTCGTCTGTTTCATTACTTGAGTAACTGCCTCCTCGAATACTTGCAATGCATGCGCATCGGCTTTGATGTTCGACAAGCCTTTTGCAATGCTGTAAGTCGATTACATTTGCTATATTAAAGGGAATTTTGTCTGTGGTGCATAAACTCGGTTTGCAAAACATGGCAAGTTGCTAAAGTAGATTTGTAGCTAATTGTTGAAAGCTTTTTTGGATTACCAATTAACAGAATAACTATGTTAAGTACATTATTCAAGCCAAAAAAATGTTCATCCAATTATTGCTGCCAGAAAAAAAATCCAAAACTAAATTCAAATGAAAAGTTTTCCACAAAAAAAAAAAACTCCAATATGTAGTTAGTGCTCATTTATTAGTTTTGTTTTATTTTTTGTGTTTCTACATTTATTCCTTTGTTTGCAAGCAACAACAAAACGGTAATAACAACTTTTCTGAAAGCCAACAAACCAAACTGAATAACTAAAACACGATTGTGTGCTGCAAAGGGCCAACCAGAATCAAATTGTGCACAGGTTAAATAGCTTTCTGTGAACATTATTTAGAAGAGCTTGAGGCAGTCTATTAGGGTCAGCATGCGAAATGTCAAGAGAAACTATTTCATTTTCCATTATAGAACAATAGTGATTTAAATATACATTTACTTAAATGCAAATGAAATATCAGTGAATATAGTAAACATCATGCAATCAATTTGTAAACACATTTCAGACTTGGCATAACTTGAATTAAAAATTGATAATGGCACAAATTTAAATATTTAAATATTTAAATATTCTCTTCAAGCCAAGCCCAATTGCTCAGCCATTGCCTGAGGTCTACAGTAACAAGCTAATAATGCAGGTTTATTATTGAAGGGGATAATGCAGTTTTCATACTTGCACGCAGTCGACTCCGCCAACAAAGTGGCCAATAACGGGCAACAGTTGATGTGGGTTAAAGCGAGCCGTGGAGTAGGTTAACATAAAATACAAACAAGTAAACGATAAAACCACTTAAAAAGCAACCAACAGACAAGACGAACTCCAAACTGCGAGTCACCCACATAGTCGTGAGTATAAAAACTAACACGCAGCATGGCTGAACAGCAGGAAAGCCAACAAGAGCAACAAACACGC